GGCTCTCATGACAAATAATGTAATGTAATGTAATGTAGTCTAACCATTAGGCCTATATTTAACAACTTTAGTTGCCTTAGTTACCAATTAATTTTATTTGGATCTGAATTTTTGTTGAAAGCTAAAGCGAAATTTCTGAAGGTGTTAATTAGTTTATCTGAATCATCAACAACCATGACTTGGAACCGCATTTTTTCTCTGGTTGGAACTGTGGCCTACCAGGACAATGATGGTGCCAGTTACCCCAAAGTCCGGAGGCAAGAAAAAGGGAAATGATGGTTGGGGACTGGTTTTGTTGATGGGTAAAGATTAGAACACTACCAAGACATGCATGTATACAAACAACTTGATTATTTGACAGATCCTGCTGGAAACCATCAGCAATCCTGGACTCTGAGGAGAATCTTTTTCCAAGAAGAACACCATTCGATTGAAGTTTCCTTTCATCAGTTTCCTTGGAAGATCCACAAGTGTTCTTTCGTATCACGGATGAAACAACCAGATTCGATCACAGAAGATTTCCCCAAAACACTATGTTGATATTCTTCATCGACTCCTAAGGCCAACTGTAAAGTCGTTTTCCGTGATAGAGCAAACATCCAGGATTCGATCAGAGGAATGTGTCACAACCTCTAATCACATAATGTTTACATACTGGATTCCATACTAAGAAATCAATGTGAAGAAGCCACGCTGAAGAAGATGAAGTCAGAGGTCTACAAACTTCTCAAGTAAGTTATCAGAAGAGGAGTCACAAGGCAAGATGCAATCTGGTCAGGAGAGTCAAACATTGCACAGCCATGCCTTGTTTTCAACTCCTATTATGACTACCTATGACTACCTCCCTATTATGACTACCTATGAAGACCTCCCGATTATGACGACCAATTAAGACACCTCTAATATGACTCCTTGTTTTAACCTCCCAACGATGACATCCCTAAACGAAACGACGACATTTGAAACTACGGGTCGCTAAGGTAAGACAATTTCAGATTTATAACAAAACTAATGAAAATTTTTTTCAAACGTAGGAAAACAAACGTACAGTGTCATTGGCGATATCTAAATACAGATTTATAGTATAAAATGAAAGATCGTCCACTTTAGAAAAGGGATACACCAAAAACCCAAAAGTAAAGCTTAGTTTAAACTCATTCAATGGTCTGATATAATAAACGTTTAAAACACTAAATGAACATTTTACAGATAAGATGCTATGAATGTTTGAGTTTTCATTGAAACCGTGGGATTCTAAAGCAGATTTATTTTTGTTGAAGTCATAATATTAGATTTTTAACAGTACGAAACTTAAAAGTTATGAAAATAAGTTTACAGTGCTATTGACGTTTGATTTATTTATTAATCTTAAAGCCCTTTGTGATTTTAGGATACAAGGCATGGCTGTGCAATGTTTGACTCTCCTGACCAGATTGCATCTTGTCTTGTGACTCCTCTTCTGATAACTTACTTGAGAAGTTTGTAGACCTCTGACTTCATCTTCTTCAGCGTGGCTTCTTCACATTGATTTCTTAGTATGGAATCCAGTATGTTAACATTATGTGATTAGAGGTTGTGACACATTCCTCTGATCGAATCCTGGATGTTTGCTCCATCACGGAAAAAGACTTTACAGTTGGCCTTAGGAGTCGATGAAGAATATCAACATAGTGTTCTGGGGAAATCTTCTGTGATCGAATCTGGTTGTTTCATCCGTGATACGAAAGAACACTTGTGGATCTTCCAAGGAAACTGATGAAAGGAAACTTCAATCGAATGGTGTTCTTCTTGAAAAAAGATTCTCCTCAGAGTCCAGGATTGCTGTTGATTTCTAGCAGGATCCGTAAAATAATCAAGTTGCAAATACACAAAACATGGCCACTTTAAATTTCTAATGTATTCATCGAGTACTGCAAGCAAAATTATCAGTAATTATTGGCAAGATACTTCATAAAGTTTTAACACAAGAAAAAACAGTACTTAATGCATGTCTTTGTTTTAAGTAAATTAAATGTGTTCTTAAAAAATTATTAATTTGTCATATTAATTTTTAAGTATATTTTAAAACAAAGGTCCTGTTTCTATGAAATAAGTTTCATCTAACAAATCCTTTTTATGCATGGAGAAAACACAATGGTGTTCTAAAGCAACAAACACTACTAGTCTTGAAACTTTTATAGATGTCACTTATCAGATAACTGTAGAGCAAATACTAAGGAAAGATTGTCAACACCAATTGTAAAATCTATATAAAATTAGGATAAATAGTATATATCCGACAAATGTTCCATTCGGAGGATGATGTAAGCGGTCACGTTCACGTTCCACTCGCAGTTCTTCGTCTTACTGGCGGCATTTAATTTAAACAAAATACAAAAGTTAACCAAACAACAGAAAACACCACAAAGGAATTTTGTTAAACATTGTAAATCACATGATAAAATATGGTAACTCTACTGTGAATAATCACTTTTAAACATTCACTTCGTAACACCGAACTGTAACCAAAACTACAAGATAATTCAGTAAAATACGATGTAAGGTAAATAAATTAAAGTATTACAAACAATTTGTTGTCTAGTCTTGCTAGGAAACTCTTTATTATGAACCAGACTTAGTTAACAGATGTTAAAATAAAATAAAAATTCCGGCTTTGCTCGAAGTAATAAGTCCTGCAGTCTTTGGTAAAATAACTATTTCAAGCTACGTCCATATGTTTAGTTGTAAACAAAGGGAATTAAGTTTGACTGATTGTCAACAGGTAGTTCTGATATGACCAAACAATCATATTAACACATTGTAAGTAACAGTATTTATCTTCACCTTGATCTGTGCTTCAGCTTGATCTTACTTAGTTTTAATCAGAACTAAAAATCTCAGAAAGGGCCAAGCGCCTGGATAACTCTAAACCAAATTTTTAAGGCTGAATCTCTTTGACTGTTGACAATCTTTTTATCTTCAGTCCGTCATCCAAACAAAGGAGGAGGCGGACACTCAAAATCAGAAGCAACATCCACTCATACAATGCGAGAAGAAAATTTTATGGAAATGTTTCTTTTGTTAGGCTTAAGAAATTACAGTTAAGCCCTAAGCAATTTATTATGTTTTCTTGTACGCCTACAGCCCGGAATCTTCCAAACAAACAATTTAAAAATGGTGTGGAATGTCTTCTCCTGGTCAACCCTTTTGACAGTGTGGATGAGTTTTTTAAACTTATAAAGAATACGTAAGAAGCCTACTGATGTGTTAGCCGAGAACTTGTGTCATGTTTGTACTTTATGTTTTTGTAATTATGGTTTGCTGAGTAAGCTGTTTTGGTTTTACCTTTTGCATGGTGAGTTTCAGGTACTCTTTCACTTACATATTGTTAAATTGCAAAGCCTATGATACATATTTCTTTCTTTTTCAGATGGATTTTAACTTATTTGATTGATTGTGAGAGGGGAGGACTCGTGGTCCAATCACCTCAACCAAAGCTTATTGTGCATCCCACTTGCCACTAACTGGGTAAGCCTATGCCTGTGTCCTTGACTAGGTACAGAAGCTTTTGCCCAATGTTAGCGTCTGGTTCATCACCTGGCTGCTTTAGACCAAACAGAGCCCTTCTCCTAGCCCCAAGTCCGTCCCAATCCAGAATAATGTGTTTTACAGTCTCATCAGACTGGTTGCAAAGTCAACACTCCTGATGTCATCGACAACTCCTAGAGTGCGGATGTTTCCTGAAGTGGCCGTGTCCAGTGATAAGAGCAAGTACCTGCTTGACCTGCCCTCTCCCCAGCTTTAGCAGCCAGCAAGTGAAGAGGTTGCTAGGTTCTGAGAGCAGTTTATTGCTAAGTGGTTGTTCAGGATAATTACACCAACGCTCTAGGTGTTGTCCCCTGGACCATTTATTGATTGCATGACGTTTAGCTTTGTTGATGCCACAAAAGAGCTCTGGTCCACAGAATGGCATGCTCGCACCTTTTTTTGCCAGCTTATCTGCACTCTCGTTGCCGCCTATGCCTACATGGCCTGGGACCCAGCCAAGAGTTACAGAGTTTCGTGTGGAAAGTTTGCAGAGAGGAAACACTCCCAGACCAGTTTTGAGGTGTTTTTATTTGAGTCAAGAGCTTTGAGAGCAGCCTGACAATCAGACAAAATCACTATTCTCTTGTCTTGGTAATTAACTTGGTAACTTAGTTAAATAAATTGTTTGGAAATATTTTATTATATTGTTTTATGCCACACTATAGGCCTATTGTTTTAAGAAACTTCCCACGCAAGGATTTAGTCCAGAAAACAGCTGTTTGCCACCAGCTTAATCATATGGGGTTTCATTACGTACTACTGTACTGTAATGAGTTTTCACGGGACACCAACCAGCTGATTATGTTTGACAATGAGTGGTTAAACGAAAACATAACCTCTCTTAGAGGTTAACAGTGGTGATTGTTAGTAATTTAGTCGGTGGTTATATAAGAATTTGTACAGATTTTTTATTGTTCTAGTTTGCTCAGAAGTAGTATGGTGTAAAATATCGTACGTCACCCGCCAAAAGTGTCTACCGGACTCGCATGGTAATCCCGCACTGGACTACGTCTCGCACGGGAAAGACCACACTCGTCAGCGATTTATTGCCTAGCCTAAACTGAAATAAAACCATTAACAGCATGAAGCAAATGGCTTTAACTTTCAACAGAAAAAATTTAAACTAGCCTATATTGTCTAATCAAATAAACGGTCCAATTTTACTTGGATGAAGTTTATTTTTCAAATTATTTTAAGTAATAAATACTGGTAACGGCTAAAGACCGACTGACTGACCGTCAGTGTGTGTGAGTGTGTGTAAAGCTTTCTGCCAAGTAGGCCTATGCTAACCAGCTTGGCTAATTGTGTGGTAAGTAGGACACGAAAAGGAAGAGAAAAACAGGAGCAGCAAACACCATACAGAAACAGGACTGGTTCACAGAGAGGGCCACATAACACAGAAGATTGGATACACCTGATTGTTAATGGCCTACCTTAGATTTATGTTTTTTCGTTGAGTCGCCGCTGGATTTCTTGGAGGAACTTTTTTCATCCGTGTTTTGCGAGTTGCTGTCCGTAAGCGGCAACATGTCAGGACCCACACCAACCTGTAATAATGCTTGTTGTACATCTCATTCAGCCACAACAGAACGCATGCACTGATGAAATAGAAATTTGAGTAGTAATACTGTAATAGCCTAAGAATTACTAAAAAAGTATTAGGCCTACTTTTTTTGCAAAATTATACCCAGAAGGGGAGGGGACGTGTCCGAGTCTGCCATTCTGGCCCAGCTCCAAAAACAAGCAGTGGAGTGATGGCTAGTAAAATGGTGAAGTTTTCTCGTATTAACAGATTTTAGATTGAGCGGGTGTACATTGAGTTTTATTTACAGTTTAGTGTAAATGCTCTTATCTCAGGAGCCTAGTACTTTTTCTTTGTTGATACTTCATTTGTCCTTGGCAACGATCAATGGCTCAGTTGTATGGGGGGGGGCAGAAGTATATATGTTCTCAGATTTGGAATGTGGTTCAACTCAAGCCTAAGGAAACTAGCTAGGTTAATTCAAATAGAAGTAGGCCTATATTGGACTAGCTAATAGTGCAATTGAGTAGAATCTCGGCAGTAGAAATGGGGGTCAACATCGGAGCCAAAAAACCAACCAAGTAAGCAAGACCATATTTTTTAAGGCTCTACATTATCTTGCACAGGAAGCTGTTTTGTTTACTAAAACGGTAGAATTTGACTTTAAAGTTACACAAATGGCAACTGTTATCAAATTTGCTGCTGTAAAAATGGTGATGAAGGATGGTTTGGTTTGTAAAGAAATTCTAGTTTATCACCAAACCTTACTTTTACAGTTTAGGAATCTAATTTGGGTGTTTGAAAACTATTTCCAGCCTAACTTCCATATCATCCTCAAATAGAGTAAAATTTTTTCTTCAATAGTTTTCTGTTGAAAAACTCGAGCCACTTTGTCTGCAATGCCTCATAAGACTAAATTTTAATTGGTGGTAGAGGTAAAACTGGTCTAACTTACTTCTTAGGGCTTGAATAATCCGATTAATAAAGAATGGATGAAAATCTAATTCTTTGCATATAGGCCTAGTACAGTGTAACTCATATCATTTTTAATGCTAACACCAAAGGACCAGTTATGCTATTCAAAATGTTTAGCCTAAGTATTTAAGGCAAAAAGGGTTAAATAAAGGGTGTTAGGTAAGAATACAGTACTTAAAACATAATAACTCAGCAATTTTTGGTTTTTGTTTGAAAGAGTCAAAGATTTGGGGGGTTGGTGTACCTTAATAAAAACATCCTTTGCTTGATCAACTGCTAACATTGTCATGCTATGGTAAAAGGCTAACCCAAAAAATTTGAATTTTAACAATAGCATTCATAAAAGATTATGTGTAGAGGTGAACATTATACTGAAACGAGGGTATAACAGAATGAATCAAAGGTTGGCAGACAGTAGAAAGCAGGCCGAGAGACAACCAGCCAGTGGCAAAACAGTAAAGATATGAGGATCTCACAAATGTTTGGGTTGAGCCAACCGTTAGCTCAAATGATTGTTTCAATCAGGAATAATTTTTGTGCTAAGCAAAGGTCAGGCCCAGTGTATCCACACGACTAAAAAAATAATCCCTCTTGCCGGGTCGAAAAATCCCGTTTAACTTAATCCTGCTTTTGAATGATGGAAAATCCCGTTTTATCCCGCATGTTTTTATATTCAATCCCGAGTGTTATATTTGACGTACCATGTTTAAATAGTTGTGTAAACATTGCTTTTATCTTTTGCTACACTAGTTTTAATCAATTGTAGTTCGTTTTCCTCTCAAGTTAAATAGGAAAAAAATAAAAATATACGCCATGGCTGAAAATCCCGTTTTATCCCGCATCCCGTTTTAATCCCGCTCGTGGTCTAAAAATCCCGTTTTCGGGATAATAATCCCGAGAATGGAAACACTGGTCAGGCCATTTATATTAGAGTTTTGTTAAGGGCCTAACTTCATAGAGGGTAGTGCAGAGGATTTCTTAGTAGGTAGGCCTATTCATAACACCTAACCACTTTACTCACTGCCCAAACTTAATTCTTTCAGTTTAAAAAAAAAAAACCCATACAAAAGCATTCAACACAGAAAAAAAAGAGTTAGTGACTGATACAATTCAACACTTCACACTATTAAACATAATTTCCCTGGAATTAAGTAAGATATTTACCCCGCCTCCACGTATAAGTTTCCGCCTGAACTCCTCCGAAGGGTTATTGAATATCCTTTTCTCCCGCTGAGAAATGCGGATAGGCCCGCTGGTATTGAGAGACAGATCATAGATGAAGTCCAGCTTCCTAGGTTCATCCTTGGTCTTGAGGTAAACTTCGATAGGGAAAGTGAAACTAGCATATCCAGACTCCTTCACTTCATAAGGAGGCTCCTTTACAACTGGAACAAAGTATAAATAAATAAAACAAAGTCACTATGTTCACATATATATACAATGTGACACGGTTATATCAAGTTGACTTCCTCCCTAATTTAACTGCTAGCAAACAAGATTAACAGACTTTGTCCAGAATCAGGCCTTTGGTTTGTGATATGCACCCAACAAACCTAAACTCTTCCACCTCTGTGCCCAGGCCTACCGAGCCCATTTATGAAAGCCGACCTGTACAAAATAGAATATTGCATTTCATAATCAATAAATAGTTTATTATTAACATGGAATGTCAACTCATGACTACCGTACTCTAGGTACCTATGTATCTATGTAGCTGGGTTATATTTTTGGCACAACTAGAGACAAATCGGCATATTTTATCAAGATTCTGGATCACTGAAAGTCATTCAAAGAAGATAAGTTGACAATACGAATTTATCCACAAATTCGGTACTAAGAATATATTTTTTTTACACTATTTTCATAACCTGGACCAAACCAAACGCCAGTTGTTAATTACAATGGTGGTGGTGAACTATATAACTTGGTAGGTTCAATGACCAATCATCAACAAACCCTTTACCATTTGAAGCTAAGGTTTCTTACAGTGTGTAGCCTGCACAACAAGCATAACATTTTTGAAACAATAAAACCTATTTTATTTTTCTAAGTTCCAACAGCGGACCCATTTAATGTTTCATTTAGGGTACTCGAGTCCCTCCCACCAACTCAACTACAGACAAGTGACCTCTCCTTGGGTTGAAAATCAAACACTTGAACTAAGTTACTTGAGGTTGGTTTTGATTTTGTTAAGAGCCAATACAACCCGCCCTTTGCCTATGAGTCTTAACTTCCTCATATATCAGACAGGCTTACTACTGTGGATACTGAATGCTACTGACACGTACCTCGTTTTGGCTTAGGAAACGATTCATGCAGGTGGAAAACGACCTTCTCTACAAAGTGATGTATATCTGTGTTGTCTGCACCTCTGACAAAGACGAGCCAATCGTGTGTGAAGCCTTGAGGCGTAACTTCTGACCGAAGACTGGCTTCATGGCCTATCTCAAACTGCACTTTCACACACTGAAACACAAGCAAACCAGGCTATAGTGACTGCATTGCACCTCATCGGTCAAAATAAAACCCAGATAAAATAAAGTTAGGCTAACTATGTGAACACTTTTTAAGTAGGTAAGTTAGGTATTAAAACTTGAGTAATATAGGCTACCTACTGGTATATACGTTTAAAGATAAATTACTCTAAAAACACTAGCCTAATTAATGTTATAGTGCAAGGCTCAACTTGATTTTAGTGTAGGCCTAACCAAATTAAAACAAAATTTCTATAAGTTTAAACAATGTTGCAAAGATGTGGCTTAGGCTATGATAAAAAAATGAATCAATATTTACAATGTTGGAGATGATTAAATACCCAAGTTATGGTATAAAGAGTAATTTTCTTAAAAATATTGCAACAAAGTGATCTTGTACAATACACACTTAACATTTATTAACTTAAGGCTACACAAGAGGAGTTGTAACATACGAATTAGTACGAGTACCGTGGATAAAAACTATTAAGTTAAGACCTTTTAAAACACTTTTGACTCTTAAGATCCAAGATTCAGCCTTAAATGACATCATGCAGTCAAATTTGTTTCAGTAACTATTACTTACATTACCGCTAGTGTGGGTTGAAGTTTTAAGCTACAGTAAATATTAATTATCAAGTAGTAAAATCTTGTATTATTTGTATATCTTTGACATAATTTTTTGTGGTATCAGAGTTAAAGCTGATGATACTTAAAGCCTTATCGTGACTAGTTGAAGGTTTTCACCAAATAAACCAAGTAGCCTACAGTAGAAACTAGACTTCAACCCGCTAAAATGCCTAGATTATTTTTAATTGTAAATTTATTACACTCTGCGAACATTTAACACATGCCACATACAAAATAAAAGTTTTTTACTAGGTACTCTTGTAAGTAGTTTTAATACAAATAGGCTAGGTATTATTCACTTGTAGCCTACAGGGTTTTAATTTCTTCCAAAACCGTTTAAACTTAAATAAACTTAACTTGTACTGGAGGTTTATAACAGGATTTCTGTTATCCGTAGCAGTAAACCGTGGTTAAAGTAAAGTAGAATAACTTGTAGCCTAGAATTTGAAACATTTTATCATGGCCGTTTTGGCATTACAATGCCATCGTCAGACACTTCAAAGATTCAGCTAAAGCAAAAAGATTAACAACGAACATGTCCCACAATGCTTAAGTGTAATAAGTGATGTTTTGACTTTTACGTTGCTGCTTTGGCTGAATTTTGGAAGTTTCTTGTTGATGGCATTTTGTAATGCCGAATTGCCTGTAGCAAAAGTTTGAATTCTGGTTGAGCAGTTGACAAAGGTGAAGCCTATTTATGGAGAATTCCGGTAGCCCATGGATGGGCCACACTCTTTTGCTCCGACAACAAATTAAGGTTAGATAAGATATATTAGGGACTTGTTTTTTACAACGCCAACATACCAGGGTGCATATTCCAATGCAGAGACCTAAGTATAATGCTGAATGGATGAGATGACAACTTTGTTGCTGACTAAAATTCAGCTGGTTCTTTGGTGAGGATCATTTATTAGCCTAAGTCTAATGATCGGAGACAGCTGAACCCAGTTCCAAACTACTATAAAAAGCTTTTGACTTTCTCCGAATATTTGTGGGCTAATCGTTCAAAGCTGGTGAACATGCTATAAACTTGTTTACTTGGATTCTCACTGGGCCTACCTATTTCATTTATGGTAACTTAAACCTGTCTAAAATTAGCCTAAGTTAACTAACTTAATTCTGTGGAGTGTATCTAACATAATCTAAGTAAGTTAGCTTTGATCAACTTATACCCAGGCCTAGCCAAGATAAGTTACACTACGGTACCTATCTCACTTATTCCTTGCTATGTCAATTAATCCAGTGGGTCAAGTTATTGCTTTATAAGTAGGCTACTGGTAACTTACAGTGTGGACATATTACGCTCAATGCCTCAGGCTAGACTACACTGCATCAGGGAATAAGTTAGAGTTAACCTAAACAAAGTTCATAGGCCTATTCTTAATTGAGCAAACTAAGTTAAGTTAGACCAACTCGATACTGGGTAATAGCCTAACTTATTTTTCGAACTTGCATAGCTCCTTTTGAACCCATAAAAAATCTCTTATGTTACCGAAATGGAAGAATTTAAGTAGCCTAAGTAACCCAAACAATCATCAACCTCTGCATCAAATTACCACTAAGTTACCCGAGGTTTCTTACTTAATGATTGTGTGTGATTAAATAAATTAGGCCTAACTTTTTTATTTAGCCTAGGCCAAGTAAAACTTTCAGAATAACAAGTCTGCCTTACTATGGGACTAGGCCTAGTTACAAATTAGTCAGAAATTACTTGTAAACCTAGCCTATCTTAACTTGTCTAGTATTAATTGTCATTCATGAAATATTTACTTAGGCTATAACTTAAAAGCTGGAACTGTTTCTAAGGTTTGCTTTAAAAACTAGTTAGCCTAGGTAACTGCCATATTGTGGATTGGTTTAGCTTGTTTAGTTGCTTATCAAACTAATAACTATAGACGAAACACTACATTTATATTAACCTAGAAGTAAAAGAGCTTACATTATTGAATTTATGCATTTTCAGTCCTAAAATATCCAATGTTGAAAGCCACAGGTAGGCCTTAGCCTTAAATTGCAAATGGTAAAGTCACACCATAATAAAACGTATATCACTCAAATAAACTCTTAAATGCATTTACCGAAGAGTTAATAAACTAATTTGGAAAGCTTGAATAGGGGAATTCATCGGACATAACGATTGAACGAACAAACTGTTGTTGTAAAACCTGTTTGTTTTTGCCTCAGGGGACAAACATGGGAGATTGAAAAAAACTGGCGCTAAATTCTGACATACCGAATATGCCATGTCCTCTTCACAGGATTTTGTAATTTTACATTATTAAGAACTAAAAAATTAACAGATATTCACAAAACTATCATAATATTTCAAATAATTCAAGATGTAAATGTTACTACGGCACGGTACCCTTTCCTAACATCCATTTCGATAAAAATAATGCAGTTCCTGATTGTGTGCTGTGCACTATCTGGTGGGGACATGAAAGAAAATAAACAAACGTAATGGACGTTAGATTATAATTATAATCTCGTAAGATCGAATGATGTAATTTTGAATGTATAGTATACCTTTAATTACCTCCTCCTTGACCGAGACCAGCAGAGCCGGATAGGTTGCGTCAATTTTCTATTAATATACATAAAAACTTCCATAGATTGAATATAGTATAACCGATGTAGGTTTGTGGCAATGACAAACTGTCGAGTAGTACGTCATATTTCACGATGGTTGCTCTTTAATTGCATCACAGATAAAACCATAAACTAAGCAACACAAGTTAATGCTAAGGGAGTATGGTTTATCTATGATAAAACATACTATTCAAATTCAATAATAACATTGACATGCATTAGAGCCAAACCTATGCAAACCTACACCAACTGTAATTTTAATCCATAATAAAGCCATTGACTTGAAATTTTGCTAGTAAACTTATAGCGTGCATGCAAACCAACCACCTCGGATAAATATGTGTGGTGGAAAGTTCATGGTGGCTCGTTGTTGGGAGCGTGCACTTCAACCATATTTTCTTTTTCAAAGAATCAGATTCTTGAGCTACCTGACATTCGAGCAAATGTGAGTATAAGCCTATTATGCGTGCTGTGTTTGCTTGGTTTTTCTTAGGTTAAGTTTTGCATAATGATTGTATATATTGACAAGTGTATTTTTTGACGATGTCCATTGCATTTTGTACAATGCTTAAAGGAAAATAAATTTCATTTAATTTCATAGACTAACCAACAATGGAATTTTGAAGCTCGTTTTTCGTGTCTAGTTCATGTCTGGTGGCTAGTGTCGATGGAGTTTGGTTTCTATTATTTTAGAGTCAATTTTATGATTTGTGCTGGTACAACTTGGTTATATAACTAGAGGATGAGTTATTGGTTATGATTATATCGTTTTATTTGGTTAAACGGGGTTTTAAATGACTGGAATGACAACGAACAAACTGTAAACAAACACAACATCTACAGTGCGCCGGACAGAACTAACGATAAAATTGGCTTCAGCTGTTCCATTAGGATGGGAAATGTACTAAGGGAGTATGTTTTAGTTTTATCCATGCTTCAACCCACACCATCCCTTTGATGTGATGCACGGTCACCTTAAAGGTGGCCATGTTTGGTGGTAGGTTGTTGGGATGGCACCTTTGTAGGGTGTTGTATCGTATACAACGTGTGCGTTGCAGTGTGATGGCAGGAGGGTAATTGTACCGTATCGTAAACGACTACCCACTACCTTGTAAAACAATAGTAATTGACGTTGGGGAGGCACATAGATGGCAACACCCATGATGGTTTTACATTGTTTCAAATCAATTGCGAAAGTTGACGTCTTTTAATCGTGGACACACATGTAAACCTCACCATATAATAAAATAAGACTCTTCGTTGACATCTAGAAATATTATTATTTCTATCTCTTGTTATTTATATTTGTCTACGCCATTGGCTACTTTAAGTGAACAGTCCAATCTCTGGTCTCTTAGTGTAGGTTCCTACTAATACCGATCTTTGTTGGATAGCATAATTTTAATAATAAATATCCCAATGGAAAATACCATTCTCTAGTCCTAGAAACAAACTCTCATGGAATATTAATCTTAGACCTTACGATTTTAAGGCACTCACTACCGGCCTCAGGTCCACCAATAGAGCTGCGCAAAAAAAGATGTAAACAAATAATCGCAGGTTTGCTGCAATGGGGTATTATTGTGAATTTCCTTAAACATTTGGACTCATTTACTATACACCAGTAAACTATATTAATTTGAAATTTCATATCATACATTTATCCATCATATAGCAGTTTTACAAATTTTTAATCAATTAATTAGTTCATGATGAACTGTAGTAAATGGCCGTATTAATGAACGGCTTATTGCTACCCGATTTCCTTATTGATTTATACCAATTTAAAAATGAATGTATTGCTGTCAATATAATTTAAATTAAACAAAAGTAGTACATATACGTACAAATATCAGTAGTTATGAAGAAATAAAAACAAATAAAGCCGTCTTGTTACAGCATTTTTTACTTTGTAAAATAATAAAGTTTAATATGATATTGTTTTTAATGATGGATCTGACTTTATTGAGACGAAGAGTTTCGCTTATCTTAAGTGCTGGATCTTCACCCCCGTAAGAAACTTTAACTCGTTTACCCTAGTGGAAAAGCTTTTACTAGATTAACACCTTATCCAGCGACATTCACTAGTAAGCCTTTTTTCGAAGTGGTAAAGGAATACACCGTTATAAACACTCTTCTTGAATCTGCAATCAATCTCAAAATGTATTTTAATAAAAAAATACTACAGAACGCATACTGCTCGAAAAATATCTCTTTTTCATATTCCTACAAACAATCAAAGACCACAGACCAAACTGCGGGCGGCTGAATATTGTGTAGTTTATATTACTGTATAGAGGCTAGGGAGACAATGCCACAGACTGCTCGGTCTCCGATCACCGTTGTAAAGAAAAAAAACTCAGACTTTGACTCTCATATATTTAAATATTATATTTAAATATATTTACTCCTTGCAATGCTCTTTAATGAATTCTTTACAAATGTTGGTTGCCCCTAGGTTGGAAGAACTCTAGAAAATAAAAATATCAGACAGAGCTTTTTGGCAGTGGAAGCTTGATGTTATTGAAAAATATGAGTGGACCCTGCAAAATATAAATATTCCCCAAAGGTCCTTAGGGGACGCCCCTGGCACTGTTTGTAGTTCTTCCAATAAAGTAATACCTTTAATGAGATCAATTTACCAGTCTTAATTCCACACTGAATTTACTTGCTCACTACTACACTAGTGACTAGTGTTGCACTTAAAAGGTGAATCTTTTGTAGTGGCTTATGATTTACTGAATTACCTTTTGTTTATCAATTAAATACTATTGCATATACTAGAATACCAAGGTTATTGAGAACTAAAAGTGAGTAACAATTGGAGTTTATTGCACAGAATTTAATAATACACTTATTTCAGTTTACAGTCGTTGTTATGTTCTTTCAAGTAAAAATGACTAGAGATACACAATCAGTTGGAAATTTATTGAAACTGTTGAATGGATTTATCAAAGGGGAGGTATGGTGCGGTTTCACACCGATCTCGAAAGTATCAATGGAAGAGTGGTATTTAATCTAATGGTTGAGATGACCTGTACCAAGCAAATCCTTTCGTTGGCCAACGATTAAAAACGAAGGTCGTCTCGCAGTCCAACTGTTTGAACAATATTGTATTCAATCGTAGTAATGTTTATCAGAATGTTGCTTTATTATTTTATAGCTAATTTGGCACTTTGGTGGTTCATCTATGTTCAAACTGGCACAACCTCCAACAACACTTCCGTATCAATCGAACCAGCTACCTGCTCCCTTCTCTGATAATAATTTGTTTCCCCCAAAAGATACTGACTGTGACACTCTTTAAAAGAATTGTACCATTTGCTCAACAATGAAAATTAACAATGACTCTGTGTAAAATTCCAACACTATAAAAATCTTATTAAATAACTCTGAATTGCCCTATAAAAACATTTTTACCTATTTATTCTTAATACTATAGGGTTGTTACAATCTAATTAATAAAGCGGATTGCTACAATATGAATGGATGTGAAAATCAGTGATTTGAATTTGAACCTATGAACATGTGCTTACTCTGCATGAAATGACAAAACAAGACAGGAAAAATTTTCAAAGGTGCGACTCACTGAAATCTTAAATTAACAAATAAATAACACAAATTACTTACAGTTTGGACGTCCACAAATATGACACAAATAAAGGGGAAGGGATTGGGAAATGTAACTAGCCGGTATTCTACAAGACGCGATCAATTGAACTCGTGAAACGAACGTGTAATTTTCAAATGGCGGAACTGCGTTGGCCGGTAACGAACTTTTTCACTTTCTGACAATGACACTGATACTAATTTCCAATCGCGGGGCAATTATATCCCTTAGGGATATAGGCTGTACGATTTTAAGGAAAAATAAGATTGCCCGACCAAACGCCGCGAAATGAATTTAATTTCCACGAACGAAAAACAATTTTACCGAACTAGCTACGATGAGATTTGGATAGGAACAGGTACTGCTGGAAGCAAGTGACCATCCGGCTAGACCTTATTCCCCCTCCTACTTTAGTGCGTGGTGCATTCTGGTCTATACTGATCTATTGTTTAAACCAGCTGACTGTTCTTCGCGTTACCCTGTATTGATTTGTTGCCTTTTTACAACAAAATCGGTACAAAATGCCCCCTAGCAGAAAAAAATGATCCGTGATCGGCCTAGGACAGTCCAACCTATCGTACTACCTCGGAGCATTTTTGGTCTAGCCGGTGGACCACGACGATACACATGAACACAATTACTATTTACAATCAACAATAACGACAACAATTCAAATTATGGTAACAAGAATACTAAACTACAACAATGATCTATTTTGTAACAAGACACCAACTGATCATTTCCCTCATTGAACACACAAAGGCATCCCGCGCACAGAATAACATTTTGGTGTATCACCAAGGTGACCACCCGCAGAGTGTGTTGTCAGAAATGGTGAACAGCTGGGCTCGTACATTGTTGTTGGTCGGCAGCGTAGTAGTCCATTGTTGTGGTGAGTCAGCGGTGCAGCGGGGAGGGGTGGGCCAGCGCTCAACAATGGTCCGATAGCAGTGTTGTCAGTGATGCGATAAGCAGGCGATAACCTTCTCGTGACAGGTGAACAATGTCCCTTTTTCCATTAGGATATCTACGTTGAAATGATGATATTTCTGCTGCTGGCTTTAATGAGTTTTGTGATGGTTTTG